TCCCCTCAACGGGGCCATCAAGGGCGACCTCCTCGAGCACTTCCGAAACGCCCACGGGCTCTTTGTGGCCAAGCCGGGGCTCCCGGACGCGCTGGCCCCCGGTGCCAGCAGGACGCCCGAGCCCCCGCTGCCCGCCGCGTCCCCTCCTCGTCCCCCCCGCCTCCGCCGGGACAGCCTCACCGCCAAGGAGGGCAGGGACAGCCCCCGGCCCCCCGGCTCCCCCCGGGCCCCCGCCTCGCCCGGAGCCCCCGAGGGACTGCGGGAAGCCGCCCGCAAGCCCCCCACGCCCCCCGCCTACACGGACAGGGGGGTGCAGACCCCCCCGGCCAAGGCTGTGCCCGGCCCGGTGCCCAACGGCAACCACAGGTACTGTCGCCTCTGCAACATCAAGTTCAGCAGCCTGTCCACATTCATCGCCCACAAGAAGTATTACTGCTCCTCCCACGCCGCCGAGCACGTCAAGTAACCCCCCCCCCCAGAGCCCCCCACCACCGCGCGGGGGGCTGCAGGGGCTGGGGGATGGAACCGGTGCCTGAAACCCGCCCCGTGCAGGGGTTGGGGTGATGGAGGATCCCCCCAGGAGGCTCCACCGGGGCAGCTTCAGCATCTGGAGCCCCAAAGTTCACCCGGGTTGGGGGTGAGGACACTGGAGGTGGGGGGGTCAGCCCCCACCTGTGCCCCTGAGGGAAACTGAGGCAGGAGGACTGTGCATGGCCCTGCCCTGGGGGCTGCAGGGGGCTTCTCCCCGTAAACACTACGGGGCCGGGGTGGGGTTGTGGGGGGCACGGGCGTGGCCCCGGCACCCCAGGAAATCTGGGGGTGCCCCCACCTCAGAGCGGACCCTGCACGGAGGCAGCCCTGGGAGGAGGATGGAGCTGCCCTGGGAACTGTGTGTATAAGTGTGTACAGAAATAAATATGTCTGCTAAACTCCTGTGTGGGGTGGGGGACACTGCGGGGGCTGGCATGGCCACCGGCTCCCCCAGGGGCCGGGCCATGGGGACATCGGGTGTGTACAGCCAGGGGTGACAGCAGGGAGAGGGCATGATGTCCCCACGCTGTCCCCAGTGCCCCCGGGTGGCACCTTCAGCAGCCTGGGGAGGTCACACATCTGTGCCATGGGGCAAAGTCCTGCTCCCAGATGGGGCTCAGCTGGTGCTGATGGCTCATTAATTATCAAGGTAATTAAGCCCCACAGCGCTGGGTGGGGCTCGCCCAGCCACAGGAGCAGTCCCTGCACTGCAGCTCCAGACCCTGCCGTGGGTGCCCAGGTGAGTGTGGCTCTAGGTCAGGTGTCCCCCACAGGGTGACAGGGGAGGATGGCCCTAAGGACCCTCAGGGCATGGCTTCTCACCTCCCCACAGCTCATCCCAGTGCTTCCCAGTATTCCCAGTCCAGCACAGGCGGGCAGTGGGTTGTTCCCCTCCCTCCCACCCTCTCTGGCAGGGGTGCTGCTTCAGGATCTTTCTGGGAACTCTTGGGGACAGTCCCCAAGGGCCAGGTCACTGGAGCCCAGTGCCCCCAGCTCTGTTTGTTTCCCAGCTGGTATCCCTGGAGCTGCTGGGCCCTTGGGAAGCCCCTGGACCCGGCCAGGCCAGCACCAGCACCCGGGCTTGTGCAAGGCTGGGGTGGGCACAGGGACTGCCCCTGCCCAGGGCTGCCAACAGGGCTGGGGACCCCAGGGACCAGAACACCCCCTCGTGCCCCTCCCTCTGTGCCAGCCCTGCACAGTCAGGGGCACAAGGAGCAGGGAGACCTTTCATCCCTTTAAAGGGAGCAAGGACAGGCACAGTGCCAGGTGCCACAGGCCAGGGGTTTGGGGTTGGCCCCATCGTTGTTGTGGGTGTCTGCAGTGCCAGGGGAGCCTCGGCTCTGTGCCAGGGAGTGGGAGCCAGGCTCTGGTGCCAGGGAGGAGGAGGATGAAGGCAGCAGCTCTCCTGGGGAAGCGCTTGCGACAGGTTCCCTCCTCGCACCTCTTACACCACCAGCTCAGGGTGCCAAGCAGCGCAAGGGCTGAGTGTCCTGGGTGTCCCCCCCTCAAAGACAACACAAAAACAGCTGAATTCAGGAGGACTTTACTTAAATAAATATATTTACAGAGCAGCAGCGATTCCAGAGCAGATTTGGCCACACTCAGCCAGCGGAGTGCAAGGACAGGCTGTGCCAGGCACGGTGGCAGCCTCTGCCCAGGCATTGACCTAGCGGGGTGCTGGGACCCCCGAGGGTTGGGGGGCCAGCGGAGGGGACAGGCCAGGCCAGCCAGCCTCACTGTGACATCTTCTTGTAGGGCAGGGCGGGGAGGCTGCAGGGCAGGAGGTTCTGAAGGGGCAGCAGGCTCTTCTCCTCTTCCTTCTGCTCCTCCTCGGTGTCATCCAGGAGCTGCTGCATGTAGCACGAGGTGCCCAGCAGGACGTGGCCCGTGGCCTGCATGGTGAACAGCGCCCAGCGCAGGGCTTCCCTGGGCAGGGAGAAAGGGGTCAGCGTGCCACAGGAGGGCTGGGCAGTGTCCCTGTCCCCAGTGTCCCCAGCCCCCCGCACTCACTTCACCAGGCGCCGGGCCCCGTAGCAGCGCAGGTCGTAGGACATGCTGTAGGTGCCATACAGGGTGGCTTTGACGTTGAGGCAGCCCAGGTCCTTCGGGTGGGTCTTGTACAGGTCGAAGGTGACGCAGGCAACATCGATCCTGCGCGGGGGCTTGCGGGACAGGCTCATCTGGTAGCCACGTGTCTGTGGAAGAGTGGCACCGCGGTCACCCGCTGTGTCCCACCCTCCCAATCCCAAACCTCCAGCGTGGCACAGCCGGGACAAACCAGCCTCTCAGGGGTCCCCTCACCTTGGGGGCAGTCCAGGTCTGCCCTTTGCTCAGGGCCATCAGGGCTGTGCCCTCCTCCAGGGTCCGGAAGAAGGACTCGGTCTCCACGGCCGTGCCGTCCTCATCCAGCACCAGCGCGATGGGCACGGGCAGGGCCAGGGCGCTCTGGGCCTGCGGAGGGGCTGGGGGTCAGTAGGGCTGGGGACAGGCCCTGGACGGGCAGACAGAGCCCAGACAGACAGACAGAGCCCAGACAGACAGACCTGGCGCAGGAGCTCGGCGAGGTTCGGGGCCATGATGCCCTTGCGCAGGCTGCGGTCCCAGTTGCACACGCGGTAGGGCCGGGGTGGCGGGGCCGGACCCGCCAGCAGCTGTTGGGTCATGGAGGCGCTGGCCGAGACACATCTGGGGAAGGGACACAGGGATTGGGGTGTTCTGAGAGCCAGCAGGACCCCCTGGCAGCACCAGCGCCCAGGGAGGGCTCTGGGGGATGCCCCCCATGCTGGGGACAGCGGCTCCACGGCACTTACTTGGACACGGGGGCAGCCAGGCGCTGGCTCAGGGATTTGGCGTAGTCCATCATCCAAGGAACACGGAGCAGCCTGCGGGGAGGAAGGACAGAGGTTCCCGTCAGCTCCAGATCTGTTCCCACCAGCACGTCCAACTCCGCTCCAGGGGTTCTTCCGCTGCTTTCAGCTCCTGTCTGCTCCAGGAGATCTCCCCACTGCAATCCCAGTGACAGAATTGAGCCTGAGCTCTGTCACCGCTGCCTTTACAGGGGCTGGTCCTGCCCTTTGGCCAGGGCCAGGCCAGCGGTGGCCGCCCGGCCAGAGTCCCCTGCCAGCGGGGCTCTTGCGTAAAGGGACACGTGGGAGCCTGAGTCAGCGCTGGAGCAAAGGTGAGACACCGGCCCTGGGCTCCGGGAAACCGGGAGAGAACAACCGGGGCTTTGGGGTCAGGGACACCCATGGGAGCGCCCCCCGCCCTGCTGCTCCTGGGGCATCTCCAGCCAGGAGCCCCGTGGGGGTCCAATGGAGCTCTCATCCCCTCACCTCCGGGGAACAGCAGCTCCTCTGCCGAGGATCAAGCCCGTCCGCCTCACCTGCCCTTATGTACCTGTCACACAGGCTCCTCCCTGGGCGCGCCCTCCTGCCCGGCCGGGCCCAATGGGGTGGGCTCCGGCTGAGGGGGGAAAGGGAGCCGGGCAGGGACCGGGAGCCGGGCGGCTCCGGCTGAGGGGGGAAAGGGAGCCGGGCAGGGACCGGGAGCCGGGCGGCTCCGGCTGAGGGGGCACCGGGAGCCGGGCAGCCCCGGCTGGGGAAGGGCAGGCTGACAGGGATGCCATCAATCCGTGCAATGTTTCCGTGGTGTCCCAGGACGGTGCCAGACCGTTCCCAGTGGTGTCCAGCCGCAGGAAGAGCAGCAGTGGCCGTGAACCAAGCCACGAGAAGTTCCCTCTCAACGTCTGTGGCCAGGGAGGGTGGCAGAGCCCTGGCACGGCTGCCCAGGGGTGTGGGGTCTCCTGTCTGGAGCCATCCCAACCCCAGCTGGACGTGTCCCTGTGTCACCTGCCCCAGGTGTCCCTGCCAGAGCTCCCTTCCACCCCAAGCATTCCCCGTAGATCCTGTGGCACGCGGGTGCCCCGTCCTCGGGCACATCTGGAACCTGCACCTCCCTGCCCCTCCACGTGCACGCCTGCACACAGCCCCTGTTCAGACGTTCACGCGTCCACCTGTGCGCGCACACCTGCGCTCCGCCTTTGCCGTGCGCGGCCCCTTTAAGACGGGTGTGCGGGGGGGAGGGGGGAGCAGAGCGCGCGCTCCCCCCCCCCCCTTCCCCACGCCTCGCGCCGCCGGGGGCGCGTCGCGCGCGGATGACGTCACGGCATGGCCGCCCTGCGCCGCCGCGAGTAGAGGCCGCTCCGCCGCCCCNNGCGGGGCGGGGGCGGCACCGGAGAGCGGGGGACTGGGGCAGCCCCGGGGAGCGGCACGGGGAGAGGAGGGGAGGGCCCGGCGGTGTTCTGAGGGGGGTCGGGGGGAGGCCGGAGGGCGTTCGGGGACGGGAGGGCGCGGAAATGAATGAATTCCCCGCTTCGTTCGGGACAATGAATGGGAAGGGGCGGCCCCGGCCTCGGGGGGAGCCGGAGGGCTGGGGGGTGTCGGGGGGACAGCAGGGCTCGGCAGCGGCCAGAGGGGTGCAGGTGGCTGTGACTGTCCCCCTCGGCAGGCAGTGGGAACAGGGACAGCGCCAGCAGCCGCGGCCCGGGGGCACAGCAGGAGAGCCCCGCCTGGCAGGAGAGCCTCGGAGGTGAGGGGACACCGCGGGGACGCGCACCGGGCAGCGCGGCAGGCCCGGGGGGGCTGGGTTTGTCACCCGTGGGGTCAGTCCTGAGGTGGGCTTGGGGTTTGTGACCCATGGGGTCTGCTCTGGATGGGTTTGGGGTTTGTCACCTGCAGGGTCAGTTCTGGGATTTGTCACCTGCAGGGTCAGTTCTGGGGTGAGTTTGGGGTTTGTCACCCATGGGCTCAGTCCTGGGTGAGTTTGGAGTTTGTCACTCAGAGTTTGGGGTCCATCACCTGCAGGGTCAGTTCTGGGGTGGGCTTGGGGTTTGTGACCCATGGGGTCTGTTCTGGATGGGGTTTGTCACCTGCAGGGTCAGTCTCGAGGTGGGTTTGGAGTTTGCCACCTGCAGGGTCAGTTTTCAGGTGGGTTGAGGTTTGTCACTTATGGGGGCAGTTCTGGGGTGAGTTTGGGGTCTGTCACCTCTGGGGTCAGCCCTCAGGTGGGTTTGGGGTTTGTCACTCAGAGTTTGGGGTCCATCACCTGCAGGGTCAGCCCTCAGGTGGGTTTGGGGTTTGTCACTCAGAGTTTGGGGTCCATCACCTGCAGGGTCAGCCCTCAGGTGGGTTTGGGGTTTGTCACTCAGAGTTTGGGGTCCATCACCTGCAGGGTCAGCCCTCAGGTGAGTCTCCTCAGAGCTGCAGCAAGGACAGCACCTCCAGGCTGTGAATTCTCTCTTCCTAAGGTTTGCCTGGATCCAGGGAGAGGGTCCCAGTTTATCAGGACAGCTCTTTGCCAAACTGCTGATCCAAAATCAGTCTTTTGAGTGGGATTATCCCAAATCCTGCTGGATCCAGGTATGACCCTGCTGCTTGTCTCTTCCTGAGGCCCTGAGAGCTCGCACTCAGCATTTGCAGGAGGGAGCTGCAGGAACATCAGCTGTGCTGGGAAAACAAACTGCAGCTGCTTTTCCCTTCAGGTGCCCACCACAAATCCCTGGGGAGCATTCCTCACTGGAGCTCTCTGAGCTCTGCTTCAAAGCCAGCTCCTGGAAATGCCTCTGAGCACCAAACTGACCCCTCAGGGCAGCTGAGCTTGGGTGCCCTGAGAGCTGCAGAGTTCCCTGGGCATCCTGCACCTCAGAGCTCCCCGAGGATGGCAGAGAAATGAGGATTGGGGTTAATTAACCCTGTCAGCAGCTGGAATTGCAGCCAGGGCAGGGCTGCACGCGGGTTCATCCTCTCGGTGTTCCGTGCTTCCCCTCTCCTGGCTCCTGAGGAATTGATTCCCTGCTGTCACTGCTCTTCCACGTTTTTCCCCGTGTTGGTTCCTGCTCTGGTGTGTGCTTTGCCTCTGCAGCTCTCTGTTCCCTGGATCTGTGTGTGCTGCCAGCACTGTTCCCTGTGCTCGGCTCCCTCGTGGGTCCTGCCTGCCCTGCCCTGCTCCAGGGCTGTGCTGCTCTGCTTCAGCCCCTGGGTTCCATGGGCCTGCTTCACAGCAAGTGCATTTCATCCTTTTATCCCAAAGATTTCAGCCTGAAGGAAAAAGCTTCCTCTCTTTTCCCCTTCCCTTTGTCCTGTGACCTCCCCCGGGGCTGCCAGGGGGACGGAAATTGGGAATGCACTTGGTTCTTCATATCCGTGAAAATTTATAGGATTTTAAGGCTCAAACTGATGGCTCTGCCCAGCTCCAGGTTTCTGTAGGAACTCATTTCCTGCCTGGAATTTCTTCCTTTTTAATTTTGCACTTTTTGTGCTGTTTAATTAACAACAGAGAAGAAATTGTGCCTGATTTTGATTTTTGGGTAAAAATTCCTGCTCTGACTCCTCTGGCCTTGTAAAGATCAACTGACAAAAGTGTGAGGTTCATTTATTTTATTTTATATAAAATAAATTTTATTTATTTTATATAAAATGGACTGATTTTATTTAAAAACGTATCCTGGCAAGGTGGAAGTGGAATTTTAAAAGCAACTTAAGTAGCAGTTGTAACTTTTCTCTGCCTGCCTTTAGTGCTGTGCAAGGCTGCTTAATCCCAGTGCTTTCAGTTCAAAAATCCTGGATGTTATTAAGCTTTGATAAAAATATCTTATAAAGGAAGTGAAGCAGCTGAGTTTAAATTTCTGTAGCATGTCCACAAATTTCTCCTCCCCTTTTTTGGGGTGGAAATGTGTAATTTGAAATGTTTCTAAGGGGGCTGGGAGGCTTTAGTAGGAACAAATTGGCTCTGTCCTGGAGCACCCAGGCACAGTGAGGATGGCCAGGTGGGAGGAGCATCTCTGCCCCTCCTTGTGCAAACCATGGGACTCTGATAAATTCAGGAGCAGCTCATCCTTCATTCCCTAATTTGAGATATTCCAGAGCCTAATTTGAGAAACTTCCAAGTCACTGATGTGTTGTGGAACTAAAAGCTCCTCACTCCTGGGAAGTTCTGCTGCCACATCCTCAATTTCTTCCCTGAGAAGCTGTGACCTGCTTTGAAGTGGCTTTCAGCTCACTGAGCTGTGCCCAAATCATTCCAAAAGCAGGGAAAACCCTCTTTTTTTTTGCCTGAAACTGCTTATTGATTGCATCTGCTCCCTGTGGCAAGGCTGGCCCAGCTGGTGAAACCTGGGAGCAGGAGAGGTTTGTGAGCCTGGATGGAATTCCCAGTGCCCTGTGCTGCTCCAGGCTGCCTCAGACACTCAGGAAAGGAATATTTGACACACTTTGAGCAGAAGGAGCTGGTTTTGGAACAGAAATAGTTGTGCAGCTGGGACCAAAGGCAGCTTTGCCTGAATTTTCAAGATTTTTCAAGATAAAAGGCTGCTCAGTGAGAGGCATTAATACTTCCCTGCCTCTTGCCTGAGCTGCAAGTCAAACAAGCTTATCTGGGGCTTAGCAGAGTTAATTTTTTGCTTTTATAAATGGTTTTGAACTAGGAAGGAACTGGCTAAGTTTTAAGGTACAAAAAAGGGCCAAGTTTATGATGAGAGAGGGATGAAACCTGGGGGTTTCTGCTCTGCCACTTCTGTCACTGCTGCTTGATTTAAAATACTTCCATGGAGTCCATTTTTCTCAGGTTTTTGTGATTTTTGTCTTTATGTTTAAAATACTTCCATGGAGTCCATTTTTCTCAGGTTTTTGTGATTTTTGTCTTTATGTTTCCCTAAAGGACAGAAGAAAGCAATTTTACAAACCCCAAATGTAACAAAAACCCCAAACAACCCCTAAAAAACACCTCAAAAAGCCCCAAAAACCTTTCAGGATTTCAGAGATCTGGGATAAATTGTGATTTGCAGTTTAAATTTCTTCCTAAAAAAAAAAAAAAAAAAAAAAAGGGGGAAAAAAACCCAAACAAAAAACCCTTGCAGAGTTCCAAAGATTTTAAATTAATTGATTTGCAGATTATTTTAAGACAACACTTAATAATGGAATTAAACTTGCTGTCCTGTTCCATCATCAGGCAGTTTTCCTTTTAATTTCCAACTCCCAATTTTTTTTCCTGCTGCTGATTTTACCTTTGGACATCTGGGCTTTGTTTTGGGACATTTCCATGCAGGGTAAGATTGCTGCCAAAATCTGCTTTGTTGGTTTTGGGGAATCTTGGAGCAACAACCCAATCCCTGAATCCAAGGAATTATACCCCAAAAAACCTTCCCTGCCTGGATTTTGTGAGCCTTTCTCACTTGGGCCATCATTTATTGTGTTTCTTATCATTTCTACTCATGGAAATTAATAGGAAATTATTACAACTGCTGGATGCTCTGGATTTTATAAAAGCTGCTGTGCAGGTCAGTGTTTTGTATTTCAATGTTTTATATTCCTCACCATCAGAACATATTTGTTTCCTCCCATCCCTCTAAAGGTCTCCATGTCAAACACAAAAAGCCATTTGCTTCACTTAAATACCTTTTTTTTTTTAATTATTTTTTGGTGCTGCTTATTTGCAAGAAAACAGAAAACAAATTTCCTGAGTCCACGTGGCCCTGGCAGATTTGATATTTCTGGTGGCCTCTCTGGGCTGACCTTTGTGTTCACACAGAGTCACTTCTCAGGCACTTGGGCAATTAAAATCCCCACTCTGAAGTGGCTCTTAAAGCCAATAATGATTTGTGCAGGAATTTATGAGCTCAGCATCAGGCTTGATGTGCTCAATAAGGAGATCATTTGTTCAGCTCCATCCTGGGGATCTGCTCAGAGCTGTTGTCACCAGCAAACTTCTGGATTTTCATTTGGGTTTGACCTTGTCAGGGAAATCAGAACTTTGCTGGTGAGCCAGAACCAACTTCAGCGTGCAGAGGAAGAGGAGGAGCTGGGAGGAAGCTCAAAATGTGGATTTTCTGCTGCTCTGGGCCCTGCTGATTTGAGATCATCTTGTGTTTATCAATTAACTGATAGCAGCAGGGCCCTGAGGGCTTGGGAGAGCTCAGTCAGCCCTAAAATACAGCTTAAGGTGCTTCTGGGAGTGGTTTGAATTTATTTTCTGGTTTTAACTCCTCTGCAGACCTCCCACAGTATAAGGAGCAGCATTTTCTGGAGTGGGACTTTGATCTTGGGAGTTTGCAGCAGATTCTGTTCATTACCAGAAGATTTTGGGGATTCAGGTGCTGGGAAGGCTCAGTTTGCTTTACTTGGGGCAGTTTTTGGTGGGTCTGTTTGGCTTTTTGATTGGAAATCACCTTTCCTGTGCAAAACCAGTTGGATAAACAGGGAAAAGTGTCAGGAAAAGGTGAAATGGCAGCTTAATAAAAGATTAGTAAACTCTGATTTTGTGATGGATTGCTGGGTGTGTTTAAAGGAGCAACCAGAGTCTGACATTTGTAGCATTTCTGCTCCAAGGGTTTTTAAAATAACAGGTGAAACTCTGCTCATTTATGCCATGGGTTTGTGGCAGCACTAAATGAACTTGCAGAGCAGCTGCGGAGTAAAACATGGGACACATTAAAATGAAGATAATTTGTAATTCTGTGGCTTTTTTTTAGGGTATTTAGAGCTTTTATGTGGATGTGACCCAGTCAGCTCAGCCAGTTCCAGTCAGGCACTTCTTTAATTTATAGGATTTTTGTTTCTGGAGTAAAAAAAATTAATGTATGGCCCAGGTTTTTTCCCTGCTTTGCACCCTGCCCTTTTCTGTTGTATTTCTTGGCTTTATTCTCAGCAGACATAGGATTTTGAACTTCCACCAAGCACATTTTTAGACATCTTCTAGGAAGGTCTCAGTTCAGGCAGCTGGATCTGCTGCTTTGAAGGAATTTTGGGGTCTTTACTGAGGGTTCTGCCCACTCAGGTGAGACCCCAGCCCTGGGAGGAGCTGGAGCTGCCGTGGAGAGCCCAGAGGAGGCTCCAGGGGGATCAGAGGATGGAGCAGCTCTGCTGGGAGGAAAGGCTGGCAGAGCTGGGATTGTTCACCTGGAGAGGAGAAGCTTTGGGGTGACCTCAGTGTGGCCTTGCAGGGCCAGAAGGAGCTGCAGGAAACATGGAGAAGGACTTTGGACAAGGGATGGGGGACAGAACACAGGGAATGGCCTCAGGCAGAAGAGGTGCAGGGATAGATGGGATATTGGGAAGGGATTGTTCCCTGGGAGGCTGCTGAGGCCCTGGCACAGGGTGCCCAGAGCAGCTGTGGCTGCCCCTGGATCCCTGGCAGTGCCCAAGGCCAGGCTGGATGGGGGTTGGAGCCACCTGGGACAGTGGGAGGTGTCCCTGCCATGGCAGGGGTGGGATGGGATCTTTATGATCCCTTCCAACCCAAACCAGTCTGGGACTCCATGAAATTCCAACCTCAAGCTCTGTCACTGTCTGTGAAGGGCAGCACACTCCAGTTTGGGGCAATATTGGGATCAGTTCTTTGTGCAGTTTAAACTCTGAATTTCCCTCTTGAGGGATCTATGAGGAACCATATTCCTGAACTTATGGCATCCCAGAGTGGTTTGGGGTGGAGGGGACCTTAAAGCTCCTGTCCCTCCAAACCTCTGCCACGGGCAGGGCTGCCCTCCCTGGGCTGGGTTCCTCAGGGCCCCATCCAGCCTGGCTTTCCAGGAGCCCCAAGAACCTTTCCTTAGGAAGCAAAGCACAGGAGGAGGAGTCCCTGAGGGTGAGGTTTCCCTGCCTGCCCGGTTTGCTGCCATAACCAGAGCTGTTCTCTGCCCTGCAGACTCGCCGGGACTGATGGACGTTTCCGACAGCCCGGAGCCAAACCCCTGCTCTCCTGAGGAAGAGGACCAGCAGCTTTCTGATGAGGAGGTCCTGAAGGAGAGCGGCTCAGAGCGGGAACTCGATGGGGAGGGTGGCCAGGGGAGCCTCCTGGGCGAGGAGGAGGAGGCAGGCAGGGCCCTGAGCCGGGGGGAGGAGGAGGAGAACCACTCCGACGAGGAGGATCGGCTGAGCGAGACCAAGTCGCAGGAATCCGACACCAACGAGCAGGGCGTGGAGCTGAAGAGCCCCCAGCCCCACAAGGGGGAGGAGGAAGACAGGACAAACGACCTGGAAGTGTCCTCTGTCACCAGGGAGCTGGATGAGCACGAGCTGGACTATGATGAGGAGGTTCCTGAGGAACCCAGTGCTGCTGCTGCGGAGGAGGACGGGGAGAAAGCTGCTGGGGAGGATGATGAGGAAGAGGAGAAAGGAGATGACGCCCCTGAAGATGAGAAGAAATCCAGCAGCAAAAGTGATGATGAGAAGGATGGGCAGGATCCCCTCAAGGAGAAGAAGAAAGAAGAGGATGATGGGGAAATTGATGATGGAGAAATCGATGTAAGTAGGATGTGGGCAGAACCCTGGGGTGGTTCGGAGCTGGGTGCTGCTCCCACTGCAATTCCTTCCTCCTCCTGGTGGGAATGTCCATGTCCCTCGTGTGCAGGGAACCCTCTTCCCTGGAGGTAAGGCCAGAGCATGGAGCAGGCCCTGATCTCAAGGGTTGCCCCGTGCTGAACCAAATCTTTGTGCCAGAGAGCTTTGTTCCCTCTCACTGTGGGGAGGCTCCAGTGCTGTGAGAAACTGCCCTGCCTCAGCTCCAGGGGGACTTGGGAATGATGCTGGCAGCAAATCCCATGGATTGGGTGGCCAGGAGCAGTTCAGATTGAGGGGCTGGTGTTGGGGGGTGGTTGTGCTGCTCAAACTCTGATCCTGGGCTGTTCCTGGGCTCCAGCAGCATCTGGATGCTTGGAAGGGGAATGAAGGTGCTGGGATTTCTGGAAAATACCCAAGGCATGGTTTGGGGATGGGGTCAGGGATGTGCAGTGTTTCACAGCCCTGAACCAACCAAGGTACTCAGAAAAATCAAAAGTGGGGTTTAGTTGCAGGTGGGGATTAGGGAAAATCTCACCTTTAGCCATGGCTGTGTTCAGCAGGGAGCTCTGCAGAGCAGCAGCTGTTTTGTGCAGCTTAACAGCCATTTCCTCCTTTTCCATGAAGAAAAAAGGGCAGAGTAATTCCAGTAAAACCCCTCCTGTGGGCTCCTGGTCTGGAATTGCATCCCAGTGGTTGGAGTGTCAGGAGAAATTGCTGGTGCAGAGCACCTGGGCTGGCTCCCCATTGCAGAATTGCAGCTGCACAGCTGGGCTGGGGTTGGGACTGTCCTGGGGACAGGCAGGGATGCCCTGGAGTGGGCTGGGGTCACTGCTGGGGCTCCTCAGCTGAGCAGGGGAGATGTTCTGTCCTTCCAGCCCCATTCCTGTGGGTTTGACCTCCACAGGAGCCTGGGAAGCTCCTGGATCCTCACTGCACAGATCCTACTCCCTTTTCTCTAAAGAATCATATTTTGTGTGGTTGTTACTCTTCATAATTCATTGACAAGTTTAATTGCTTTCAGCAATGACATAGTTTTTCTCCCTCGTGCCCATCCTGGCAGGTGACTTTGTTCAACACGTGTTTTCCAAAGGTTTTGTGTATTTCTGAATCAGTAAGAAGGAATTCCAGTATGTTATGGGCAGAAAAAAAAAATTCCTGGAGTCCTGACTTCATGCCTGCTCCTTGATTAAAATATGAATGCTCTCCTTTGGAGCCTGAGGCATTCTTGGGAGCTCTCCTCACAAAGCAGGAGATGAATCTGTACCCTGGTTTTCATACATTAACTCATAACAGCATTCTCAGCTGCCTGATTCCAAGGAGACCTCCCAGAAATAAATACTTCCCCTTTTGTTCCAGACTTCACACAGCTCTTTTGAAAGCAGCAGAGTGGAGCTGGTTCTCCCATTCATGCAGCACTTAAAGCCAGCCCCAGCTTTGGGGAAAACTTCAAGCTCTGCATTTTCTTCTGCTTTCAGCCTCCTGGCTTGGAGGGAGGGGAATATTAATGCAAATTTTAATTGGAATATAAGTGCAGGCTTTTAAATGCTTTGCTGTTGAGGAGAGCTCTGTCTCTGGCTGGCTCAGGAATGCAGCAGGAGAGGCTCTTCACCCTCCTCTCTGAGCTCCTGTGTTTGTCTCCAGCCAAGGGATGGCTTTTTCCTTCTTCCCAGCTGCTCAGTGGATCACAGGGGAGAATTCTCCTCATCTTTTCCACCCAGAAAATGGCTGTTGCCAGGCAGAGGGAAGGCCCATCCAGATGCTCTCTCTTCATGTGTTTCATGTGCTGAAAACAGGGAAAGGGAGGCAGAGAGAGGGAAAAACAGGATAAACCTTTAGGATAAAATCCTGATTTCCTGGCCTGGTACCTGTGACACCTCTCTGGTCATTGTACCTTTGCCTCCTGCATCCCCAGCTCCTTTCAGCTCCTTTGGGCTTTCCAAGTGCAGCCTAACAAAGCTGGGGAAGGGGATTTTCTCTTGGAGAAAGGAGAAAATGCTGGTATTTGAAAGTTCCAAGAACTTTTCTTCTGGAGGTGTTTCATGGCTGTTATTTCTTAATCTTGAAGCAACCTCCAGCTACCAGAATTTCTTCCTGGGGCTGCAGTCCCTGGGGATGAGGCAGTTTTGTTTGAACTGGTTCCCAACTCCAACGTGGAGCTGAGGAGTAGAAGGGAAGGTGGAGATGGCTGGAAGAAATCTGCAGGATTTATTCTAAAAAGTTCATTTGTGAGATTGTCCCTAGAGAGGGACTTTGGACAAGGGATGGAGTGACAGAATGAGGTGGAAGTGGCAGGGTTAATTTGGATATTGGGAAGAAATTCCTGGCTGTGAGGGTGGGCAGCCCCTGGCACAGGGTGCCCAGAGCAGCTGTGGCTGCCCCTGGATCCCTGGCAGTGCCCAAGGCCAGGTTGGATGAGGTTTGGAGCAGCCTGGAGTAGGGGAAGGTGCTTTTACAGCCACCTGGGATCTTCTGCCCTCACCTCGTGCAGGTGCTCTGGGGCCCTCCTGTAACCTGCCCTTGTTTTTCTCCTGTGGTTTTGCCCCAGGGTGGCTCTCAGTGTTTGAGCAGACTGGGAAATGCCAGACCCTGCAGGGCATGCCCCACCTGAAATGTCAGCTTTGTGTGTCTGTTCCAGGATGATGACTTGGAAGAAGGGGAAGTGAAAGACCCCAACGACAGGAAGGTGAGGCCACGGCCCACCTGCCGCTTCTTCATGAAAGGTAACGTGCCCTGGGGCGTGGGAGGACCAAAGCTGCTGCACTTGTTCCAGTTTGGGCATTTTTGTTCTCCATTAAGCTGCTGTTGCATGATAAATTCAGCCCCAGGCGTCCTCAGTGTCACCTTGCTGTTTGCTGGTGGCCAAAGCTGAATTTTCATGGAGCCACTACACAAAAAGGGCTTTGCCCTCAGCGTGGTGAGCCTGGAGGAGGTAAATAAAGGGAGACTTGCAGGGGTTTTTGGGATAAAACACAGAGGTTTTGGCTGCCCCATCCAAGGCCACAAAAAGGGCTTTGCCCTCAGCGTGGTGAGCCTGGAGGAGGTAAATAAGGAAAACTTGCAGAGGTTTTTGGAATAAAACACAGAGGTTGTGGCTGCCCCATCCAAGGCCAGGCTGGTCAGGGCTTGGAGCAGCTTGGGATAGTGGAAGGTGTTGGGATTGGAGCTGGATGGGCTTTAAGGCCCTTCCAGCCCAAACCATGCCATGATTCTGCTCTCTGCCTCACCACTGTTTGTTTGGGATGCGCTGTGGTGCTCGCTTTGCCCTCAGGTTTCCTGTGAAAGGCAAAGCTCCTAACTGGAAATGTTTGTCATTAACAAATGAGGATCTCATAGGCTCATTCATACGTTTAATTAACAGTGTGTGTCCAGCCCTCCCTTCTCCCCACTGGAATAAGGTTCTTGTCCATTGATCCATCTGTGTCTGGATCTGTTTGTCCCCTCTGGCAGGTGGAGAGTGCCAACTCTCCTCCCATGTGTGCGCAAACAGGTAAATCCCAACCCAGCTGGAGAGGAGAAAAGTCACAAACCTCCAAGAAAGTTCCTCCTTAGAGGGTTTTAAACGCCTGCTGGGGTTTTGGTGGCTGTGGGGCTGAGTGCTGCAGGGTGGGAGCAAGGGTCTAACAGCTGTGTGTTCCCACAGGGCACTGCACCTGGGGCATGAACTGTCGCTTCATCCACCCCGGAGTGAACGACAAGGGGAATTACTCCTTGATCTCCAAACCTGAGCCCTTCTCCCCCAACGGTGCCCCTCCCATGGGCCCTCACCCGCTGATGCCAGCCAACCCCTGGGTATGGAACCTCTTCTGGCCATTGATGGCTTCTGCACCACCCTCCCCATCCCTGCAGTGTTCCAGGTGGGGTTTTGGAGAGACTGCTCTGGTGGGAAGTGTCCCTTCCACTGGAACCAGACCTAAACTGTTCCACAATCCTGGGATTTTCCTCTTTTTTTTTTGAGCTAATACCTCAGCAAAATTCAACCCACAGTTGGACATGTGATTTTTAAATGGAGATCTCGGAGTTGCCAGTAGAGGGGGGTAAAATTCCATGCTTTCCCAGCTTAATCCTGCAGGAGTAACTGAGGTAGCTTTACAAAGCATGGCTTTGCTGTTTAAAACTAACTCAAGTGTCTTCTCCTGCTCTCCTCACCCTTCCAACAGGGAGGCCCAGTGGTTGATGAAATCTTACCTCCACCTCCTCCTGACCCTCCAACAGAAAGTGCCTGGGAGAGGGGACTCCGGCATGCTAAAGAGGTAAATTCCTTCCTCAGGGAATTGCTGGCTGCCTCCAAAATCCGCTGGAAAAGCTCTTTTTGGAGCACAGGTGTTTTGTTCTTTCTCTATTCCTCTTGCCTTTTAATCTATTAGTTGTGTTTTGTTGTACATCACAATTGTTAGACAGCCAGGAGGAGCTCAGATCCAGGTTGGGGGGGTTTATATTCAAGAAATAGTGGGAATTTGTGGCCCTCAACAAAGCAAAGCTTTAAGCTGATCCAGTTTCCCTCCCTTCAGTACCTGTTTCTCCAGTTTGTGATCACTGCAGGGGGGAAACCTCTGTTTCCTGCTGTTCTGAGCTGGTGGAACAGGGAATTAATCAGGAAGAGTCCAGCATCCTGCACATTCTGAGGGAGGAAGGTGCTCTGGCTGCAGGAAATCTCCTGAGGGCAGGATTTTTAATATTACTTTCTTCCTGCCCCAGGAGCCTTCTCTCTTCACACTGTTTTTGTTCTCTTTAAAAAGGTATTAAAAAAAGCAACGATGAGGAAAGAGCAGGAGCCTGACTTTGAGGAGAAGAGGTTCACAGTGACCATCGGGGAGGACGAGCGGGAGTTCGACAAGGAGAACGAGTTCTTCCGGGACTGGAATTACCGCATCACCCGCGACGTGCGGGACCCCGCGTAAGAGACACCCCAGGGATGGACAGCTGGGGGGACTGCACTGCAGGGAGCCTGCCTGGGGGTCACTGTCCCTCCAGACTGGGGGATGTCACCTCCAAACGGGGAGCAGCTCCCATCAGCGGGAGGTTTAGAGCTTGAGCTGCCTCCGCTCGCTCCGGTTCGGCCCCCACCTCCCTTCCCAGTCTCCTTGAGCCCTTCCTGCCTTCATCCTCCTTGGAATTCTGCTCCTCCTGGGCTCTCTCCAGCTCTGCATTGCCTCCCTCGCACCAGTGTGTTCTTCCAGCTTTTTTTCCCCCTTTTTTTTTTCCTTATTCCAACCATTTAAAAGCATTCCAGCTGAGGCTGCGAAGTTGGAGCGTGTTCAGTGTGCAGGAGCTGGGGCAGAACTGGTTTAACAAACACCTGGACTGGTCCCAGTTAAAGCTGGTACCTGGCCACAACAAGCACCCTAAATTTAAGTGTTCAGGTGGTTGGGGTTTTAAGGTAAAGTTTAAAGTTTTAGAGAGCTCAAACCCAGCTCTGGGAAATTGTTTGGTAGTTCTCGAGACAAGAAAAGGAATGGGAAGAGAATTTTTGGGAAAGAGGCTTGGATTCTGCAGGAATGCAGGTGGATTTGTCTCTCCTTGCTCGTGCATCCTCTGTTCTTCCTACATGGACAGATTATGGAAATATTTCCACTCCCAGAGGGTTTGCAAGGTTTAGTTCTGTTTATTTTAGAGTGGATGAATTACAAAAAAACCCCACCTCTGAAAAGGAATAGATTATGCTTTTGTTCAATATTCTTTGATTTGCTCTGGAGTGCAATTCCTTTCCCTAATATAAAAAAAAAAAAGGACAAAAACAAAAAAAACTGTCCTCACTTCTGCAGCCTGAAGGAAAAGAAATTTCTAAAGTATTAATATTTTCCTGGGTTTCATTAACTCTGGATCTTGGCCTTGTGTTCCTGTCAGAGGCACCTGGGTTTACCCCCAGTGTTCTGGGAGCTGTTCATCCATTATCTTCATTTCATGGCTGCCCTGTAAAATGCACCAGCAGTATTTTGGGCCTCTCTGATGTAGCAATTGTTAAGAGCAGGCCTGGTTTTCATATAGTCCACAAAAAAATGTATTGCACTTAACCAGTGTTAAACAAAAGTCATCCAACAACTGCAATTCCTGAAAATTGAAGGCTGTGTGAGCAGGCTGTGGCATTAAAATATCTTCATTGTGTGTGAAGGGAAAAGTTACGAATCTGCTGCTGTAAGCTGTAGGAAATGCTGATTCTTCTCCTCCCCACACACAAGTTGTTGCCCAGTTGGACACCTTGCAGCCAACTGAGCACTGGAAGTGCAGCTGGGATGTGGAAAATGCTTTCAGCACTGTCTTGTGACGTGTGGAGTTGTCTCAGTAGTTCATGAATCCCTTTTTCTTTTTTGAATTAACTATAGGGAGGTGGACATCAAAGAAAACATTAACTATGGGTAAGCAGGTCTTTGATTCCAGTACTGTTACAATTGTAAGAAAATTTTCCTTTGCCTTTTTTTCCATTGCACTTCCTCCAACTTCCGAGGCCACAGACCAACCCCTGTCCCCTCAGCAGCTGACTCAGGGGATAGCTTGGATTATTTTTGGGGTGATACCAATTATTTTCTAATGATTTAAGCACTGAATTACCCAAACACACAGCAGTGACCCTTTTTGAAATAAAAAAAAACCTCCACCAATATTATAGGAAGGGGAAATTTGGGCTTGAGGCTGTGTGAAAAAGCAGAGTTTCCTTTCTGGCATGGCTTGAGCTGTTTTCCTGTCTCTTTGAACACCTGATGTCACTGAATCCAGGTTGCTTTGCAGTTGGCATCAGGAGTTTGTTGCTTACTGAAGCATCCCAAATCCTGTTTCTCCTTCCCTTGGCTTATTGCTTCAGTCCAAAAGAGAAATCCTAAATTATTTACAAGCACTGAAAAAAATACAGGTACCACTCACAGGGCAGCACCTACGTCTTAATCTGGTTTAGGTTATTTGGCACTGTAAAAATTCAAAAAGTGGCCCCTTTATTCTTCTTTTTTTATAAATCAGAGTGGAATTTGGGAGCACTTGCTGTGGAATCTTAGTTCTGCCACCGACTCCTCTGTGGCCCTGGAAGTTTCTTACTCCCTGTACTCCCTCCTCATCCTCACAGTGGATCTGATATTTGCACTCCAGGTGCTTGGATGTTGTTGAGTTGGGGAATGAAAACCATCAAACAATGTAAATGGAAATCAGGAAATGGAGGAAGCAGCTTTAAGGAGGGTGGGGTTTCAATCCTTTTTCTCCCCAAAAATCCTTTGTTTTGAAGTTGTGTTTGTGCTCACCAGTCCTTGGCTGATTCCCACTGGAGGATATCAGCTGGAGAAGTGGTGCCTTCATTTCAGGGGATAATTCCAGGTCCAGAGTGTTGCTGACCTGACCCCAAAGCTCCACTGCTCCTTGTGGAAGCTCCTGTCCTGTACTGGTGGCAGCCATCACTCCAGGGGCAGGAACTGGGGGACTCCTGAAGGGTTTGGGGATGAGTGGGTGCATGGGCAGAAATCCCAGCTCTCAATCCACGAGGCAGAACATGTCCTGCTCCCTTTGCAGGCACTGGAAGGGGCTCTCAAAAGCATTTTCTGTGTTTGCACCACATTGATTTGAAGGTCGAATTTTTGGTAGCTCTTTTTTTTGCTGTTTATCAAGAAAGGTTTGTGCTTTTCTCTGATAAGCCTCACTTTAAAAAGACTATTTGGTTGGGCTGTGTAGAAAATAAACATCTCTGCACAGCCCTGCTGCATTGAACGTGGTTTTCTTGTCACAGTGGCTGAGCTGACCTAGCACACACAGTTTTTGTGGTGCCAAGGTGCCTTTTCCCTCTCTAACACTCCCTGTTTTTCATTGTAGGCTTGATCCCTATGCAGATCCCTATTATGACTATGAAATAGAGCGCTTCTGGCGTGGTGGGCAGTATGAGAATTTCAGGGTTCAGTACACAGACCCCGACCCCTACCGTAACTACAGAGTAAGTAAGGAAATCCCCCTTCCCTCTTTTCCTTCCTGACTTTCTTCCAGGTTCTTCTGGGCCTTGGCACGCTTCCAGGGCAGTGCTTGAAACAGGAGTTTTCAAATAGTTCAGTCCTGTCTCAGTCCCAGCACAGACACACTGGAGGTGAGGGGATGGAGGATGTTCTATTCCAGCACCATGAGGGCAAAAGCAGTGCTCCGGGCTTGGGAGTGAGGCTGGGAAGCTGCCTGATTTGGAAAAGGACGTGGAGTGCTGGTTGACAGTGGCTGAGGAGGCCACTGGCACCTGGCTGGCACCAGCCCTGGCATGGCCACAGCCCCAGGGCAGGGACTGTCCCCTGTGCTGGGCACGGCTGAGGGTTCTGGTCAGGTTTGGGCCCCTCCAAGAGAGACCTGGAGGGGCTGGAGCATGTCCTGGGAAGGGGATGGAGAATCCTGAGGGAGTTGAAGGGGCTCAGCCTGGAGAAAAGAAGGCTCAGGGGGCTCTCCTGGCTCTGCACAGCTCCTGCCAGGAGGGGACAGGCTCTGCTCCAGGGAACAGGGACAGGAGGAGAGGGAACGGCCTCAGGCCAGACCAGGAGAGAATTAGATGAGATTTTAGGAAAATTCTTCCATGGAAAGGGTGTGAAACATTGGAAAAAAGCTGCCCAAAAAAGTGGTGGAGTCCCCATCCCTGGAAGTGTTCAGAAAACCTGTGGATGTGGCACCTGGGGACATGGCCAGTGGTGAGCTTGGTGATGGTGCTGGCTGAGGGTTGCACTTGATGATCTGAAGGTCTTTTCCAGCCTTTACAATTCCATGTCTGAGATGGGAAGGTGGTTCCTCCTCGTGCTCCTTGGCTGCTCCTCAGTGTAGCAGATGAGCAGTGCTTGCCCATCCTTGGGTATCTTGGAGAGGGAAGGAATTTCCAGGAAAGATCCTGGTTGAGGAAAGAGTTCCTTGTTCATGCTTGGGAAGGAGAAGGTTAGATTTGGGCAGGTGTGCTCTGTGTAGCAGCAGAGGCTCCAGCCTGGCTGTGCAAACATCAGGATTGAGGCACAGGACAGCAGCAGCCAGGTGCTGAAATCCCAGCAGTTGTGTTCCACCAGGAATGGATCTGGATGAGAACTTCAGAAAGGCTCTGAACCCTTTCCCAGCTCTTCCTTTCCCCTCGTGCAAACTTTGTGCCTCTGCAGCAGTGACCAAACCACCCAGTGCTGCTCAGGGGGAGCTTTTCAGTGCTTTCCAGCAAATCCTTTCAAGAGTACCTTTTCCTTTGCTCTAAATCCTTGTTTTCTGCAGGACAGGAGCCTGGGCCTCACTATGGCCACACACGACCAATTATATTCCTGGTGCTCATTTGCAAAATTAATTACCTGCTTATAGAAATGATCAGCAACAAGAGGAAAGACTCGTAAACGTCAATACATTTATTAAATAAGCTTCATAAACCAAATTAATCCAAGTGTTGCCTTTGAAAACAACAGTTGTGTGGGATGTGATGCTGTGTTTGTGTCCAGGTTCTGCTCAGCAGGACCCAGATTATTGATCTCCAGATTATTGATCTCCCTGTCATTGGTTTGCAGATTATTGCTCTCCATGTCATTGATCTCCAGATTATTGATCTTCATGCCATTGATCTCCAGATTATTGATCTTCATGCCATTGATCTCCAGATTATTGATCTTCATGCCATTGATCTCCAGATTATTGATCTTCATGCCATTGATCTCCAGATTATTGATCTTCATGCCATTGATCTCCAGATTATTGCTCTCCCTGCCATTGGTTTGCAGACTATTGATCTCGATCCTTTGCTGAGGGAGGGCGGATGTAATTCCTGCCATTCCCAGGACTGATCTGGAATTGTAATTCCTGGCATTCCCATTCATTGATCTCCAGATTACTGATCTCCATTGTATGTCATTGATCTCCAGATTATTGATCTCCATGCCATTGATCTCCAGATTATTGATCTCCCTGTCATTGGTTTGCAGATTATTGCTCTCCATGTCATTGATCTCCAGATTATTGCTCTCCCTGTCATTGGTTTGCAGATTATTGATCTCGATCCTTTGCTGAGGGAGGGCGGATGTAATTCCTGCCATTCCCAGGCCCGCCGCCCTCTTTGCCGGGAGCTGCTCCCCCATCATCAGCGTGGCTTCTCTGTTGTTTTTTTTCAAGGAAAGAGAGCGAGAACGGGAGCGGGAGAGAGAGAGCAGACAGCGGGAGCGGGAACGGGAGCGGGAGCGCGAGCGGGAGCGCGAGCGGCGGCAGCGGGAGCGCGAGCGGGAGCGGGAACGGGAGCGCGACAAGGAGCGGCAGCGGCGGAAGGAAGAGTGGGAACGGGAGCGGGAACGAGTGAAGAGGGACGAGAAGGACAGGCAGCACAGGGACCGCGACAGGGACCGCGACAGGGAGCGGGAGCGCGACAAGGACAAGGACAAGGCAAAGCCGCGGTCCCCGCTGCTGCCCAGGTAAGTGTGGCTGCCATTGGGGTCCTCACTGGTGGGAGTCAGTGAAGCGTGTGGCAATGGTGAGGGTGGATGCAATGCTGGAAGTGCTGGAACCTTCAGAAAATAGTGGGAGTTGGTCACGCACATCAGAGGATTCGCCAGGAGGTCCGGATTCTCTTTTGGAATTAAGGAGGGTATGAATTGGCAGACTTCAGCTGTAATACTAATATTGGAAGAGATTTTTCCTTTTGAAAGCGGGATAATTAAGATGTTTTCAGTTTCAGTAATAGATTTCAATAATCTTAATGGCATGAAGCTGTGTCAAGTGACGTTTATGGTGGATATTAGCAAAAGCTTCTTCACTCAGAGCACGCTTAGGCGCTGCAACAGGTTCTCCATGGAAGTGGTCACAGCACCAAACCTGACAGAGTTCAAGAAGCATCTGGGCAGTGTTGTTGTGATCCCGGTGTGTGGAACTGCTGAGGACAGTTGTAGTTAATGAGCCTTGTGGCCACTGAGTGGAGCTAAAACATCAGTGATAATGAGAGTACATATCCTGACCCTGAAAGCAGGAGTGCCCTTTGGTGTGGAGATGGTCAGATCCTCCCTTTTCCCGTCAGGCTAGAGAGGTTTTGGGAGGATGAGGGACTCCTGCAGGTCGGTTCCCTGGGGTGCCTGTGGTGACTCCCTTTGAGACCTTGAGAAATGTCTGTCACAAGAACCAGGGCTGCTTCGGGAGTTTGTGGATAGCAAAAGTATCTGGAGATTTAAGTACAACTTGAAAAAGGAAAGGAGTTGTCCTTGGAATGAGTCTCTGCTCAGTGGAATTGCAGCATGAGGTCAGGTTTGTTTCCTCTGACCACCCATTTGTGGAAATCCTGGTTGTGACCTGTGTGAAAGAGAAAATGGAACCAGACAGACTGAAAGTGCAGCAATGTGATTCCTGTTTTGTTCCTCTGTCAATGATTTATGTACCTTGCCTTCCCAGCCTCCTCTGGCTGGGGCACATTTTGAAGCACTGGATAAATATCCCAGTGGGATGGAAGCTCTGATGTCACAACCTCGTTTGGTTCAGAATCATGGAAAAGTATCACATTTTTTGCAGAGGGACATCTTGGAGCAACCTGGTCTAGTGGAAGGTGGGCAGGGGGATGAAATGAGATGGACTTCAATGTCCTTCTCAACCCAGCCCATCCCATGATTTTGGGATCTCCAGGAAAACTGCTGAACAGTTTCTTGGGAAGAGTGGCAGACGGAGACTCCCACAGCGTGTGGAGCACCCTGGGGACACACAGGCACGTGTGAGGCACAGAGAAGTGCAGGGAAGCTGTTTCCCAAGGTTCACTGGAGCTTTTCCTGCTGCCTGCCCGGTGTCTGTGCTGTTCCTCTGCACTGGAGGAAGGTGTGAAGCACGATGGGCATGAGGAAGAGTTGGATCAGTGAAGAGCAGGGCTAGGAATGCCAGGAATGAGGCTGCACGTGGAATGAGCTGGTTTCACGTGGGAGCAGGGCTTAGTCCTGAATCCAACCCAGAATTTTTACCTGCAGTACTGAAAGGGTAGCTGGTTTTTGTCCCTCTTTCCCAAGAGGAAGTGACAGTTTCAGAACGGTCTGGAGGAGCAGCAGCAGCTGCAGAGCAGTTATAGGAATACCATAATTACATGTTCCGTTTAATTATAATCTTCACTTAACGACCACGATTTGTGCACTTAATTACCACATTGCCCGGTGGTTTGTGCTCTCCTTGGCTTGGTGATGGGATAGATCTTGTCCAGACCCATGTGATGGAGATGATGTCAATGAAAGTGATGTCACCTGCTTGGCAGCTCAAGGTCTTGAGTCAGTGACAGTCATTGTGACCCAAGGATGAGCCTGCTGGCTGCTCCTTCCCCTGGCACTCCTGCAGTCCTGGGGCAGGGCTCTCTTGGGAGAATCTGGACTGCCAGTGCTGCCCAAGGAGTGCTGGGTAGGAGAAGTGGCTGTGCTCACCAATCTTGGATCCCTCTCATTCTGTGAAACCACGTGAGAACCCAGAGATGGGATTGACAGCATTCAGGGGGTGCACGTGCCCTGCTTCCCTCTGGCACCAGGGAGCTGGGTATGCCTCTTGTGTCTCCAAAACTCCATGAGATGAGTCTTGGTCATTCAAAAATAGTTTCTGATGCACCTCTTTGCTTTTTTTAAGTCTGCTATGGAGAGGGACTTTTCAAAGGGCATGGAGTGACAGGGCAAGAGGGAATGGCCTTAAGTTCAAGGGAGTGCAGGGGTAGATGAGATATTGGGAAAGAATTCTTCCCTGTGAGGGTGGTGAGGCCCTGGCACAGGTTGCCTACGTTGGAAGGGACCCTAAAGCCCATCCCACCCCCTGCCATGGGATTTCAGCTCCCATGGTGGACATCCATGTCAACATGACTCCGTCCCACAGCTCTGCATGTGTCTGGTGGAGAAAACAAACCTGCAGAAAGAAGTTTTGAAAAAGCTTTTTAACAAGTGAAAGCTTAATTCCAGCTTCTCCCTCGGAGGCCACATCCCTCATCCGTCACTTGGCGTGTGCCCAGGAGTCCCCGTCACGCTCGTGCTGTGACCTGGCTCTGGCCCGTGTCCCACGTCACTCTGTGACCAGCTCCCAGCTTCCTCATGGCAGTGCAGCGGCTCGAGCCGTCTCACCTTTCCTCCGGATTGCTCCGTGCCAGCTCCAGAGGGGCAGCTTTGGCATCCTGGGATTGAGCAGCTCCCGAGCGCGCTGAACGTGTCAGACCTGGCATTGCTCCGTGCTTCCTGGAAGCGGGATGCACAGCAGTGCCACAGCACGCACCGGGGGCTCTGCTGCCTCTGCTTATAGACTCTGGGCTTTCCCTCATTGCTGCATCCCAGCTTTTGGCAGGTCCGGCCTCCCTGGGCTGGCTCACACCACGGCTGCCCGTTAATGTTCCTGCCACTTCCAGGGCCCACGCGGCACTAATGAGCCGGGAGAGCTCCTCCGTGGGGCCAGGAGAGCTCCTCCACGGGGCCGGGAGAGCTCCTCCACAGGGTTTGGAGAGCTCCTCCGCGGGGCCGGGAGAGCTCCTCCACAGGGCTGGGATTGCTCCTCCACAGGGATTGGAGAGCTCCTCCACAGAGGTTGGAGAACTGCTCCTCAGAGGTTGTGCAAGCAGCACTGAGCTTTGCCCAAGGCAGAGCTGAGGGTGTCAGTAATTCTGGTCGCTCTCTTGGTGTAGGAGCTCCTGCAGGAGCTGGAGGAAGGAACAAACCAGGACCTACAGAATTAAGGGATGAGAGAACCCAAAGAGCAAACAGCTAGGAATACAGGAATAAATTGCCTTTCCATTCTGCTGAAAGCAGGAAGGTTTAACCTGATACCTAAACAACAGAGGAGTTTAAGGGTAAAAATGTGGAGAAGCCAGAGTTGTTCCCAGCATTGCTGGGTGATGGAGCTGAGGAGGAATAGAATTTAACCAAGATTTAAACCCTGATGCATTCAGGGACAAGTGTTTCTCCTTGAACCTTTGGAAAGAACAGGCTGCAGTGTTTGGGCTCCAATGAGATTGTCACATGTGGATTGGCCTTTTTTGAAGGAATTCACAAAATTGTCTTCCAGTACCTGTAGGGAGCCACCAAGAAAGAGAGAGAGGGACTGTGAACAATAGCATGGAGAGACAGGACAAAGGGGAGATGGATTCAAACTGGTAAAGAGGAGGCTTGGATTGTATTGTGGGATGAAATTCTTCCCTGTGAGGGTGGGCAGGCCCTGGCACAGGGTGCCCAGAGAAGCTGTGGGTGCCCCTGGATCCCTGGAACTGTTCAAGGCCAGGCTGGAGCACCCTGGGCTAGAGGAAGGTGTCCCTGCCCATGGCAGGGGGTTGAATGAGATGAGATTTAAAGATGCATTCCAACCCAAACCATTCCATGATTCTGTGAATGTGCAGTTGCTGTTTTAAGCTTTGGGTTGGGGTTTTTTTCCCAAGCTTAAGATGAGCACTCCAAGGAGTTTAAAATCTGAGATTGCACTGCTGGTAAAACTGTTCCTCCCCCTCCTCCTCCTCCTCCCTCCTCAGGCATCGAACACGCAGACAAGCCAGGACACTTTATGATCAATTAGAGGGATAACTTGGCTGTCTGTCCTCCTGCTCCCATCTCCAGAACGAGTTCTGATGCCCCAGGCTGGGCCTGGTTTTTGCTGAGTGCAAAATTCCTTTTTTTTTCTCTCCGTCTTGCCGGTGGAGCTCCCTGTTGTGCAAAGGCTTTCAGGGATAAAGAAGTGACATGAAATATGTCCTCTGAAGAAACTGAGAGCAGTGCAAGATGTTCTGACCCTTAGCTGGGGGCAGAGGCTCTACACACTGAAATAATTTGCATTAATCCCTTCTGTTGTTGCCATAGGCCTTTATCCCAGCAGCATCTGAGGGAATCTGTTTGTTCCAGGAGTTCATGAAGCAACCCAGTGTTGTGGGGCCTGTTGGTGGCTGTATTCCCAAAGCACTGAGGGACACTCAGGAGAGCATTCCCAAGGGGCAGCGCTGGCACTGATGTCCCTGTGACAGGGACAGGAGCCAGGGAATGGCTGGAGCTGTGCCAGGGCAGGTTTAGGTGGAGATCAGGGAAAGGTTCTTCCCCCAGAGGGTGCTGGGCACTGCCCAGGCTCCCCAGGGAATGGGCACGGCCCCAGAGCTCCAGGAGAGGTTGGACAATGCTCCCAGGGATGCCCAGGGTGGGATTGTTGGGGGGTCTGTGTAGGAGTTGGACCCACCAGACAGAGAAGGAACCTCAATTTTTCTGCCCCCTCAGCTGGGGTGGCACTTGGTGTTGTTGATCAAGCAAGGAGGAGGAAGGTCCATGAGATGGACATCGGTTTCCTTCCCGCCTGGATTTCCTCTCCAAGGAATGCTGGGGCTTCTGGTGGGGAGCAGCATGGCAAAATGAACCTTGGAGTGAGACATTGTCATCTCCAGTCCTGGAATTTGTCCTGACATCTGACCCAAAAGCACTTCCCACAAAGACCAGACATGCTTCTGTGCCTGGGG